CTAAGACATTGCATAGGAAGCCAGCTAATGAGGTTTGCACAAGTTATAAAATGGAAGGTGGAAACCTGGATAAAAAAGTCAGTGAAAGGGAAGAAAACAATTCACAATTAATTAATATTCTTCAGAGCGACATGGAAAGAGTATTGTCCTTCAGTGGTCTCAGCTGCCATCCCTGACTATTTACCTTACAAGAGATGTAGACTTGGATATAGAGGGCACAGAATTAAATTTTGTGGACAATATAAAACTCTGTCAATGATAAACTGTATAGAGAGGGCTGTAAGCAACTGTGGGAGCTTGCAGACAGGTTTAATGATGATGCAATTAGATAAAATTTAATCAGAAGTGGAAGATAATCAATTTTGATAAGATAAAGAGAAAGCACATGCAGTTAAATGGTAAAACATTTAAATCATTTAAAACATAGGTAACAGAGCCAAGATTCAGATGCATAAAACTCTGAAAGTAGGGGGATGAGTTGATGAAGCTATTAAAAAAAAAAATCTGGATTCCTTGATATTGTAAATGAATCATAAAGTACAAATGCCAAGTAAAGCTGTACAAAAAAAATACACTGGCTAAGCCAAAAACTGAGTCCAGTATAGGGAAAGTAAGAACTGCCAATGCTGGAGTCAGAGACAACACAGGGTGGAGCTAGAGGAACACAGCAGGCCAGGCAGCATCAGAGGAGCAAGAAAGTTGATGTTTTGGGTCAGGACCCTTCTTCAGAAATGGGGGAAGAGGGAAGGGAGCTCTGAAATAAAGAGAGAAAGGAGTGTGGGGCTTGGGAAGGTAGGTGGGATGGTGATAGGTGAGTGCAAGTAGGCAGTGGTGGGGATTGATCAGTGAGGTTGGAGGAGCAGATAGGTAGGAGGGAAGACAGACAGGTCAAGTCAGTGAGGCCAGAATGAGAGGGAAGGTTGGTCATGGGATGAGGCCAGGGATAGGGAGATTTTGAAACTAGTAAAATCTACATTGAGACCATTGGGTTGCAGGCTCCCACGGTGGAATAGGAGGTGCTGTTCCTCCAGTTTCCAGGTGGGGTCATTGTGATACTGGAGGCGGCCCAAGATGGACATGTCGTCCAGGGAATGGGAGGGGGAGTTGAAGTGGTTTGCGACTGGAAGGTGCTGTTGTTTGTTGCGAACAGAGCGCAGGTGCTCTACAAAGCGGTCTTCCAGCCTCCACTTGGTTTCCCCGACGTAGAGAAGGCCACATCAGGAGCAGCAGATGCAGTAGACCACATTAGCAGATGTGGAGGTGAACATCTGTTTAATGTGGAAGGTTTTTTTGGGTCCTTGGATGGAGGTGAGTGGGGAGGTGTAGCACTTCCTGCGGTTGCAGGGAAAGGTGCTGGGTGTGGTGGGGCTAGTGGGGAGTGTGGAATGGACGAAGCAGTCGTGGAGAGAGTGGTCCTACGGAAGGCAGTAAGGGGTGCGGCAGGAAATATATCCTTGGTAGTGGGGTCAGATTGAGGGTGGCGGAGATGATGCGTTGAATACGGAGGTTAGTGGGGTGATACGTGAGGACAAGGGGGATTCGGTTTTGTTTTTGTTGTGGTGAGGGGGTGTGAGGGCAGAGGTGCGGGAAACGCAAGACATGCAGTCGAGAGCATTTTCGAAAACTGAAGCGGTGGGAGGGGGGTAGTTGCGGTCCTTGAAATAAGAGGACATCTATGATGTTCAGGAGTGGAACGCTCCATCTTGGGAGCAGATGTGGAGGAATTGGGAGTAGGGGATCGCATTCTTGCGGGAAGGTGGCTGAGAGGACATGTAGTCTAGGTAGCTGTAGGAGTTGGTGGGTTTGAAATAGATATCACTTTCGAGGTGGTCACCAGAGCTGGAGACAGAGAGGTCCAGGAAGGAGAGGGAGGTAACAGAGATGGTCCAAGTGAACTTGAGGTTGGGATGAAAGGTGTTAGTAAGTTGATGAACTGTTCGAACTCCTCGTGGGAGCATGAGGTGGCGCCGATACAGTCATCGATGTAGCAGAGGAAGAGATGGGGGCTAGTGCACAGGGAATCCCACAAGGCATAAAATTCCAGTTATCAAAACTCCTCAACCTCTGCTTCCTGCCACTAACAGGAGATTGCTGCTGGTACTGGATATCACGTGGTGATTAAGTATAACATGTTGTCTCCGTAAATGTCCAGTTTCATGAAAAGGGCACGAGGTTAGATCAACTCAATGATGACATAGTAATTAGATCATTTTAAAATGAGAAGACTTTGGAATGTACAGTTTAACAATGGAGACAATTCAAAATAACTAAACTATGTGTATATTTCTGATTGTAATACGATTACAACATAAGAGTAGCAATTCAAAGAACAACTGAGAATCTAAACTGTCAGCACATTTTAGACTTCATTATTTGTAGTTCCAAATGCAGCTATTGGTTGCGCGTTGATGGTCTATTGACACAAATGTAAATGACATGTTGATCATATTAATTGTATTATACAAGGTGTGAGTCAGTTGTTTTTACCAAAGATGGTCAGAGAAATTCAGAGCTGGAGCAGGATAGATCCAACATGGAAGTTTTACAAGTTAACAAAAGACAGGAGTTAAACAGTACCGGAACAAGTGTTAATGAGGTGTATAAAATAATGAGGGGCATAGATAGGATGAATGCATATAGCCTTTTTCCCAGGGATGGGGAACTGAAAACTGGAGGGCATATGTTTAAGGTGAGAGGGGGAAGATTTAAGAAGGACCCGAAGGGCAAGTTATTCACGCAGAGATAGTGGTTGAGGCAGGTACAATAGCAACATTCAAAAAACATTTGGTAGGTCCATGGATGGGAAGGGTTTAGAGGGATATACACCAAAAGCGGGCAACTGGAAACAGGTGAATGGGCACCACGGTCAGCATGGACCAGTTTGGGTCGAATAGCCCGTTTCCATGCTGTATTACTCTACGACTCTATGACTGTAAGTGCTGACTGGTGTCTGAGCTGCTCCAGGCAGTACAAGATATCACCTGGCTTATAGTGTTCCATTATTCCCAAATAAATCCTCTTAATTTGATGTACAAAACCTACTGACTTCCAGAGTTTTGTCATGTTAAAAATACAAACAAGGTTTAAGAAATTTACATAAATTTAAAGCCTTAACGTTATAAATTGTGGATGAATATAATTCTGTTATTGCAGACTAGTCAAGAATATCAAGAAGAGGGCAGCACGGTGGCTCAGTGGTTAGCACTGCTGCCTCACAGCACCAGGGACCCGGGTTCAATTCCACCCTTGGGCGACTGTGTGGAGTTTGCACATTCTCCCAGTGTCTGCGTGGGTTTCCTCCGGGTGCTCCGGTTTCCTCCCACAGTCCAAAGATGTGCAGGTTAGGTGGATTGGCTATGCTAAATTGCCTGTAGTGTTCAAGGGATGCCTAGGTTAGGAGGGGTTAAAGGGGGATGGGTCTGTGTGGGATGCTCTGAGGGTCGGTGTGGACTTGTTGGGCCAAAGGACCTGGTTCCACACTGTAGGGATTCCATGATTCTATCTCATGGGTGCTCTGTTTTAAGCTGCTGACTTTGTTCTGATGTATCCCATTTAGCAGTAGTGTCACACAACATTGTGGAGAATGTGTACTGTATGGAGAATGTGTACTGTATGAAGATGAGACTTTGACTCCATAAGGGCTGTGTGGTGGTCACTCCCAAGAACAGTACAAGGGACTGATGCATCTGACACAGGTTGGTAGGTACATCAGATGGTAAGTAGGTTTTTCTAATTGTGTTAGCTCTCTCACTGTTTTATGCAATTCCGTTAAGTCATTCTAGACAAATCCAGCTTGGTCAACAGTGATGAAACCAATCTCTCTTCATGGTGGACATTGCAATTCCCTATCCAGGGTACATTCTGTATTTTTGATATCCTCTTCCAAGTGGTATGAAACATGGAGAACCACTGATGTATCAGGGAGCATAGTGGGTGGGAGAAAGTCTCAGTCTCCATGTTTGACTTGATACTATGAGACTGTATAGAGGTCCAGAGTCAACACTGAGTATATCCTGAGTCAATGATAAGTACGCCCAGAACTACATCTCCTCACTGCAAACTTCTGGAGGATCTTTGCTGCTGGTTAAACTGGACATAGTCAGGGATAGTGATAAGAATCTGCAACATGGACTAAAAAGATATGATTTGGTGAGTATGAAGAAGTTCAACTGCTGCTTGACCGATCTGTGAAACAGCTTTCCCAATCTGGGCAAAAGTCACCAGATACTAGTGAGTCGAGTTTTACAGGGTGAAATAGGCTGGTTGTACTTTGAACACATCTGGTATCAAAGTCAAAGCCAGGTAATCTGCCTGGTTTTCTTAAACTTTTCTGTAGTAGCTTGATAGAGTGGAGTGGTTTGCTATTCATTTAAAAGTGCATGAGGAGTCAGTCACATTGCTGTTGGTCTGGAATCACAAAAAGGCCATATGGGCTAATGAGGTCTTCAATAATCAGATGTCAATCTAGTGTTTTTATGAGCATAACTACTATTACTAGTTTTTTAGTTTCAGGTTTATTAACTGAATTTAAATTCAGCAGTTCCACTGGTGACGTATGAAAATGTCTCCAGATATTCACACAGGTCTGTGGATTAGCAATCAAATACTGTAACCACAGTATTACTGTATCCACACATAATTATCAGAAAATAGAAGAATGAATTTATAAAAGGCTCTGATGCTACATCCTAATCACTATTGTTGGTCTTTGTACCGCAGTAAGAGACGATCAATTATTTGTATTTGTTATTGCATCTGTTGTATAAAAATTGACTGAACACATATCTATCTCATTCATTTGAATGCAGTGACTCAAAGTAAACCATAATGCTTATCGATACTTAGTTTGTGAGAAGGGAATCAAGGTTTGCACTGGTTTTTGCAGCTAATAAGTCCAATAGCCGATTATAGTCTGTTATTAAAAAAAACTTTGTTTTCTAGCAATAAGTTTGCCTTTCAGAGGTCAGTGTAGCAAAGACTGCATCCTTGCTTTGTGTTACCTTTTGAACTGATCATGGTAAAATTCTGATTTGCAGGTGACCATCTCGTTGTTTTCTACATTAGGACCTTCACGGCTACGAACACCACCAAAAACATATAGTTCCAAGCCAACACCACATGCTACTGCACCAAACCTACAAAGCAAAGAGACATCAATTAAAAAGATCTGCTTGCAAATTGGATGCATCTAGCCAACATTTAAAATGTAAATGTTAACAGGCAGTCATACATTAAGCTTCCTGTACCTGTTCATAGCCCACTCAATTTAATACTTCAATGAAAGCACACACAGTCACTTACAACTGCAGGACAGAAAAAAAAACTCAAGGAGCACTTTAACAACAATTTTCAACATAAAGTTAAAAACAAATTTGCTGCATATCAGTTACACATGTTTAATTTACTACCACGTTAGTCAAATAAAAGAAAAACAAATTTTAACATGACTGGGTCTAAAGTTATTACAGGCCACAACAAAAAAAAACTAATCACTTGAATATGCTCGATCTGTTTGTGATAGTATAAAGAAGAAGGTATGTCTAATATTAATGTTTAAGATAACAGCAAAATACTGCAGATGCTGGAACTGAAGTAAAAACAGAAAATGGTGGAGAAACTCAGGTCTGGCATCAGCTGTACAGAGAGAAACAGCATTTTGAGTCCCAGATGACTGTTCTTCAGAACTAAAACAGAACTCGTTGGAAATGTTCAACAGGTCCGGCAGCATCGGTAAGGAGAAAAAAAAAATCAGTTAATGTTTCAGTCTGGAGACTACTTCCTCAAAACTGATGGAAGCTAGGAAAATGTCAGTTTATATTCAGAGGAGTTGATAATGATCTGGGTGGGAGGGTGAATAATTGTTAATGGAGACTGTTAGTGGCTAATAATAGGGGTAGTGTGTAATGGCAGACTATGTGATAACAAGGCCTGGTGTGTGGGGCAGTAGGCTAGAACATGGGAGAGTTTAGGCCCTAAAATTACTGAACTCGATATGGAGTCCAGGGCTGCACAGGATCCGCAAGCGGAAAATGAGGTGTGGTTCTTCCAGCTTTTGCTGGAACACTACAGCAAGCCTGAGACAGAGATGTTAGCCAGGTAGCAGGGTGTTGTGTTAAAGTGACAGGCAACTAGAAGCTCAGTCTTTTTTGCAGGCAAAACATAGATAGTCTGTGAAATGGTCACTCAGTCTACGCTTTGTTTCCCCAATGTGGAGGAGACCACACTGTGAGCAGCAAATGCAGTAGACTAGATTGTGGGAAGTGCAGGTAAAGTGTTGCTTCACCTTCCCCTCCCCTCCCTTCCCTTGTATGGCTTCTGCAGGGACCATTCCCTCCAGGACAGTCTGGTCCACTCTTCCTTCACCCCCAAGATCCCTCACAGCACCTTCCCCTGCAACCGACAAAGGTGTAACACCTACCTATTTACCTCCTCCCTCCTCAGTATCCAAAGGCCCAGACATACCTTCCAGGTGAAGCAACATTCCACCTGCACTTCCCAGAATCCAGTCTACTGTAGTCGCTGCTCACAACGTGGGCTCCTCTACATCGGGGAAACAAAGCGTAGACTGGTGACCGCTTTGCAGAATATCTACGTTCTGCCTGCAAAAAGGACCCTAAGCTTCCAGTTGCCTGTCACTTTAACACACCATCCAGTTCCCTGGCCAACATCTGTCTCTGGCTTGCTGCAGTGTTCCAGCAGAGCTCAGCGCAATCTGGAGGATCCACACCTCATTTCCCACTTGGGGAACCTGCAGCCCTCCGGACTCAATATCAAGTTCAATAATTTTAGGGCCTAAACTCTCCCATATCCTAGTCCCCTACCCCACACACACACACACACGTTATCGTATAGTCTGCCATTACGCACTATCTATTGTTAGTCACTAACAGTCTCCATTAACAGCTATTCACCCTCCTAGCCAGATCATTATCACCTCCTTTGTCTGTCCAACAGCTCTTCTCTCTTTTTGGACTCTATTCCCACCTATCATTTACTCCTTACCCCCTTGCCCTCCCTAACATCTGCAAATAAACCGACATTTTCCTGGCTACCATCAGTTCCGAGGAAGAACCCGAAACGTTAACAGATTTTTTTCTTTCACAAATGCTGCCAGACCTGCTGAGCTTTTCCAGAACTTCTGTTTTCATTCCTGATTGAAGCATCCACAGTTTGTTCAGCTTTCCTGCAAAATTAATGTTTTAAAACAATTTTAACTTTAAAATGGTTAAAAATCACATTCTACTGAATCAACTGCAGTGTTAGCACTTACATAAATATCTCTTAAAATATCTGAAATTTGAAGCTAAAATTGTGATAAACACATCATCTTGGAAAAGTTGTGAAGGCAGACATACACATTAACAAAGAATTCTCAATTGTCGACTACAAGGTCTTTGGTAATGTTAATTTGGCTTACTTCTATTAAACTTAGTACTCGCCTCAGCCTATTTCCTCAAAGATTGAGGTTTTACTAACTGCTTAAAACAAATACGGAAAACAGACAGGGGCACTAAATCGTAATTCATAGCAACTTTGATATTTAAAAACAGGGTGTTTCACAATTAGCACCCTATTTGCAGAATGACTGTGTGACAATATGAAGTTTTTAGGAAGATTCAGTTCTTGGCAATTCTTCATGCAGTCACCTCCAAAAAACACAAGAACTAGCGCTAATCTATACATAAAGGACACTGCAGCAGAATCCATAACACAACATTGTTCAACTCTCTTCAACGTAATCATCGGTTTAATGTTATCAGTTTGTGTTTTAAAATTCCAGCAGAAGCAGACAGCAAAGGATTGTTACAATTTTCTTACACACTGTGCTTGGTTTTGTTCAATAATTGTTAATTGAAAGTCAATCCACTATTAATGCTTGCAGTGATGTTTTCATTTGCCGGACACTAATACTAAAATGTATCTGGACCGAGGAAGTTTTCTTATACGCAGTTGGCCAAGCTAACTTGTGGAAAAAGTACTGATGTGGCTTCCCCCATGAAGAAAAAAAACAAGTCATTTGAGCAGATAATCACTCATCAATATATAAACCCCACATATTAATACAATAACTAATACAAAATGCTGATTGCACACTAACCTTTTTTCTTTTAGTGGGCAGATCGCAGTCCACTGCTGTGTCTTGGGATCATAGCACTCAACAGACTCAAACAATTTTCCATATGAGCCACCACCCATTGCATAGATCTTTTTCTTCATAGCTGCATAGCAGCCAATCTGTTAGTAAATAAACATGGAAAATTTAACCTTTCACCACCTATCCTCAATTTGTAAACAGATTGAGCAATTCTTTGGACAAACCTCAGAACAAGTCCTAAAATGTTACAACTAATTCGTGAATTTGCTAAATTTCTCAATATTGGTGAAGCATGAATACTTCCATATCTAAGTAGTGGGTATCACATCAGGTAAACATCTTAGTGCACACAATAGCTTTGTTTATCTGCCTCCTTGCAGTTTTGATCCTTTACCCCGTATTCTGAAGGACTTTTTTTTTTTAAAAAAAGTTTCATAACTAACAAAATCAACAAGATACTTTGCTCAATTGCAAGCCCTGATAATGAGTGCTAATAAGTGTTCAATTGATACTGGCCCAGATTTTGAGGCGGTAATGACAGTGAAGTTATCAGCAGGTCTCATCAATGCTGCACTGAAACTGACTGCAACAACTGGAACACTCACATGCAGAATAACACAGAAATTCCAGCAGTTGCTGTCTGATTGTACACTTTGACAGGATATGCTGATTGGAGTTTGGTGCTGCCTCATCAATGGGAAATTAATTGAATTAATGACAATTTTCATTCAGAGGCTCTGAAAACCCTCAAGAGGGCTTTTATGATGGTGTCCCTTCTTCTTAACAGTTTCAAGTCCCATCTGCTTCAGAAGTGTGTAATAACATCTCTGAATAGATTGATTTAAAATAATTATATTTGACTTCGGTCTTACAATTCAAGTTAAAAACCTTTAAGAAAGTTTTAAAAGCAAAGTGTTGATGAAAAGTCATCAATCTGGAATGTTAGATAATAAGGTGTAGAGCTGTTATTACACACTTCTGAAGCAGATGGGACTTGAAACTGTT